AGATATTTTTGCTGTAATCTTGTTGCAGACGGATGTTGTTGTCAACAGCGTTGGCCCAGATCTGCAGTTTGGTGTGGGGCCTCTTTGCAAAGCCTTGCTGGAAAGAGCTGGACCAGAACTCCAAGTAGAGTTTGACAAAGAAAAACGAAGTCAGGCTTCTGGTCCAGGGAGTGTGGTCTGCACCAGTGGACATGCTCTGGCCTGCAACTCCGTGTTTCATGCCATACTACCTGGGTGGAATGGAGGACAGACAGAGAAGGTACCTTTTAAATATTATAATTTAAAAAAATAGATTTGAAAACAGACGTGTTTGGGATCTGTCCTGAAGTTTCAGGTTTTAGCTTAGTTAATTTAGATGGTTTGACTCCATTTGCTTCTGTTAGAGTCACCTTAAAGATGCCTTGAAGCACTGAAAGCTCCTTCTCCTACTGGTTACTCTCTTTGGAACTAATAATGAATAATGCCTTAAAGAAAAGTATCTTTGCTGTATCTTTCAGGTCTTACAAGATGTAATCAATTTCTGCTTGAAGAAAGCTGAGGAACTTGGACTGAAATCAATTTCTTTCCCAGCTCTTGGGACTGGTGGATTTGGATTTCCTAAAAGCCTTGTTTCTAAGTTAATGTTTGATGTGGTGTTTGAGTTCAGTCGAAGTCACACTGTGAAGAATCTCCAGGAAGTTCATTTTCTCTTGCATCCAAAAGACATTGATAATGTTCAGGTAGTTTTTCTCAGGACAAAGCTGTCTATGCTACATACTGTTCTGATTATGCCTTACTAATGTATTTTAGTAATGTATTTAGTAATGTATTTTAGTAATATTATTAAATTTAGTAATATTATTAAATTTTCTTAAGTGAATAATTTAGCACTTTCTTACTTCTACGGCCTCACTGCTGGCTGTAAATGCCTGCAGATGCTCCCTTGTCTTTTGACAGAGGAGTTCTGGCAATTCAGAGACATTACCTCTTATCACACTGTCCAGCTGGGTCTTCTGCTGTTATTAGTGACACCTGAATGTGACTGTAAATTCTGTTAGGGAGCTCAGCGAGAGCTACGTGGCTGTTAATCCTAATTATAGAAACATTCCATATATAAACTGTGAAATGCTGTGTTTGGTACCTTTCTTCTCTCCTTAGGCTTTTACCACTGAGCTAAAACATAGGATAGCTGCAAGTGGCAGTGCTGCAGCACCACAGCCAGGTAAGTTGTGTAGGGGCAGGAGGTGAGCACGGGGGAGAATGTAGATACTGTTGAGTGGTTTTATATATATCAGGAAACAAGAGAAATATCATCAGGGCACAGGGCATTTTTCTTCATCCTATTTGGTTTCCTTTTAAATGCCATTTTAAAAAACTGTAGGAATTCATTTTGCTGAGGGTGTGCTCACCTCTTGGTGAGGCCAATCTTATCCTTTGGAAGAGAGTGTCCCAATAGGACACCCAAGTGGGAGAACTTTGCCAAACAAGCCATGAATAACATGTATTTCTGTACCTTTAATTTCCTTTTTAGAGATAGATATACACAGAAAGGATGTGACCCAATAGCAAAAGCACTGGAGTGAACTGCACCAAGGGCAGAGGCTTATTCTTAAGGATATCCAGCTCACTCTTCTCAGCTGCTGAGTCCCAGGGAGATGAAGTTAAGAGTGTGCAGATAAAATAAGACTTAGAGAAATTTAGACTAGAAGGAAGGAAGAGTTTTGTAACTGTGAAGGTAAAGATGAAATATCTTGCAAAACTGATGTGATGGGTTCTCCGTTATTGGCAGTGCTTTAGCTGGATCCTCCATTTCTTGTAAGAGTTAATTCAGGAAACTGTGTTACAGAGCTGGTCAGATCAGACAAACCCTGAGGCCATTTTCTGGATTGGTGTTGCAAG